AGCGCCATGTCATCAGGGACACCTGTGGGAACAGGGACAGGGGTCATGTCTGCTCAGCTCCCCAGAGCTGGCACGGGGCCCCAGCAACTCCTGCCTGCCCCACCAACCCTCCATGGCAGAGCCCAAAACCAGGGCCAACCAGGGCTCAGCCCAAAACCCAGCCTGGATGCAGCACCCCCCAGCCATCCCAAAGGAGAAGGGGCATCCCCAAAGGAGGAGAGGGGTCCCCAGAGGAGGAGAGGGGTCCCCAGAGGGAAAGGGCACTGGGAGGTGGTGCTGTCAGACCCCAACGAGCCACTCCGCAGTGCAGCTTCTCACCATCGATGTGGATCGACTTCAGCTCCCCGTCCTCCTCCACTTCCACCCGCTCCCGCCCGTTCTCGATAATCCTGCAGACAGACAGACAGACGGGTGGATGGTCAAGGGCCAGGCAGCAGCAAGCTGCAGGGTCCGAGGGTCGCTGGTGAGGGGGGTCTGCGGGGGCAAGGCAGCTGGTGCTGCCCTCACCGTTTGGTGGTGACGCGTTTCCCATTAACGAAGGTGGTGGAGGTGGAGACAGAGCGGAACCCCAGCCCTGCGTCGGCGCCAGAGCTGAAGGATGAGGTGAAGAAATCTGAAGAAAGGAGAGAAAAGGTCAGTGCCAGGGTGGGGGTCACGAGGAAGGCAGGGGACAGACCCTGCGCAAGGGGACATGGTGTCCTAGGACTCCCCCATCAGGTACAGGCTGGCAGTATCTCCTACCTGAGGATCCTGGGAAGGCAGAAAAGAAGTGGCCTCCCCCGTGGTGCCGGGAGCCAGGTCCTCGCAGCTCGGAGAAGGGCAGCATCTCATCTGGAAGACAGGGTCCCCCCATCAGCATTGCCCCCACGACTTGGCAAGCCAGGAGCAGGGCACTGCCATGGGGACCCCTTGCTGGGGCCAGCCATGCACTCTGTCCCCAAGCCCAGCGGCTGCCGCAGAGCCAACCCCAGGCCCCCACTGCCCCACACGCACCAAACAAGTCGGCGAAGGGGTCTCGCCCACCAAAGAACTCCCGGAAGACATCGTGAGCGCTGCGGAAGGTGAAGGTGAATTCGGGGGCCCCGGCGCTGGCCCTGGAGCCCCCTGGTCCTGCTGGAAGGAAGAGGCTCAGAGTTAAGCAGAGTCCTGGCTGGGAACCCCTCAAAGGGTGGGGAGCCCCAGGGTGCACAGACCTACATCAAATGGGGCTGTACCCTGGGCAGCACTAATCCCGCATGGCCCTGACCCCCACTCACCTGCCCCCATGAGTCCGTCCTTGCCGTAACGGTCGTAGACATCACGCTTCTGCTCTGTAAGAAAAAGAAAGGAGGCTGTGGGGAAGCTGGCTGCCAGGCATGGGCAGGGACACGGACACTGCCCCCGGCCAAGGGAGGTGCAGAACAGCAGGGAGCAAGAGGAGGGGGGAGCGTTAGCCCCTGCTGCACCAGCCCCACTCCCAAACCCAAGCTGGGGCATGGGTGAGGATGCACAAGCCTCAGCCCCACTGGGGAGACCTCATCCCGGAGGCCAGCGCCCCAACATCTCTCTCAAGAGCCATTCTGGGGCATGTGTGTGGAGGTAACCAAGCTCCACACACTGGGCAGTAAAGCTGGAGGGACCCGCTGCCTCCTGGGGACGTCCAGGGACGCCACCTGGGTGAGCCCAACAGCAGGACACCCCAGGACGAGCAGCCTCACAGGCAGGGGGAACACACGAGACAGCACCGTGGCCTCTTACTGTCCGACAACACTTCGTAGGCCTCAGCGATCTCCTTGAACCTCTGCTCAGCATACTCCTTGTTGTCCGGGTTTTTATCCGGGTGCCATTTCAGCGCAGCCTTCCTGTACCTGCAGAGACAGGCAGCGATGGGCACGCAGCAGCCTTGGTTGACGGGGGCTCCTGGGCCAGCAACCACCCTCTGCATGCACACCTCTGGCCCCGTGGGCAAGGGCACCCCAAGCCCACTTCACCCAGTGCCCCACACCCTCAGGCATCAAACCAGAGCTTCTGGGACTGGTTCTGACTCCTGAGCAAATATTTGCACCATGACCTCAGCAGTGCAAGGGGTCTCTGTGTCCCCCAGGCAAGCCACCAGTCTGCACCTCTTCCCCCTGGGTGATGCCTCACCCCAGTGGGAGCAGCAAGACCTCAGCAGGGTGCCAGGCGGGAGCTATGGGGGGCTCCATCCACCCCCAGGGCCCCCCAGCACTGCCTGGGGTGTAGCATGTGCCCTGCCAAACAGGGCCCATGTCCCTAACAGGGGACACGCTGCTCCTCACCCTGTGAGCTCCAGACTCTCGATCCTGACACCAGCAGAACCCCCACACCATCTCTGCACCCTCCAGCAGAGAGAGGGGACACCTCCAAACACCAGCAGGACCCACTTGCCACCCCCAGCCCTGGGCTGAGAGTGGAGACAAAGGGACCGAACCCCACCAAGAGATGCCTTTGTACAGCAGCAAAGACCAGCCCCGCTCTGGCCTCTGCACAAAGGAAACAAAAGCTGGATTGTCACCTCTGGAGCTGGGCCCTGTCCCCATCAGCCCTGCAGGGAGCCCCAGCTCTGGCCTGCTGGTGTTGGGGCGGGGTGGCTTGGGCTGCTGTGCCCAGTGGGCAGGGGCACGCCTGCTAGGCACTTACGCCTTCTTGATGTCCTCGGCAGTAGCATTGCGGCTCACCCCCAGCGCTTCGTAGTAGTCCACCATGACGTGTGGCTGTCCCGCTGGGTCACTGTGGGGGGGAAAGGCAACATCGGGGGTCTTGCAGGAGGCATCAGGCAGCACTGGGTGTGAGAGAGCACAGGCGGGCTGCCCTGCCCTCCCCAAGCACCCCACAGGTCCCCGGGAGAGCGGCTCAGCAGTAACCCCACGCAC